ACTGTCCCCAGTGGGCTGCTCAGCAACTTCCACGCTTGTGATAGTGGGTGGATTGCACTCAGAAATTAAGATGCTTCAGTTACGGTTTATAACATTTCTGAAGGCATCTGGTTAAAAAAGTGCTGTGAGTGGACTGGAACGACCTCTAGTTCTCAACACTCAAAAATACCTTTAACCATACGGACCCTATAACATCTACGATACGTGCTTTGCAATATGTTTCATTTACATAGAGAATGTCTGAGAAGCCTGGCTGGGAGCAACTCATGGTTCCTACATTGCTCACTTTCAGAAAAGAGCAGAAGTGCCTAGTTTGCATCATGCACCCTCATGTCCTGGCAAGGAAAACCTGCTGCTAAAGGGAGAAGAATCAGGGGTTTGCAGAAATGGGACCAGTGATTTGGCCTGTGTCACATTCATAAGCCACATGGAAAAGCAGCTCCAGCTCAGAGAAGGCACTGGTTGCATATACTGTGCCAGGTGACATTTTGCTCTCCCAAGCTTCTGGCACTGAAAGACACTCATATATTTACAACCTTTCTTAAGGTCATCTCTGCTGTGTCTCCAGCTGAGCCATTAAATATTAATTGGACCTGCTTTCCAAAAATAAAAAGCAGAACCTCTAATTTACTTGTGTAATTAACACCTCCCACGAACCAGGTGTCCTCCTGAACCAGACCGAACAAGCCATTTCCTCTGCACAATCCTGAAATATGCTATGTGCTTTTGAGAGACACACATTTGCTTGTTCATTCTGCATGCACAAGTGCACATAATTATTTTGGGGAAAAAAAGCGCCTTAAATACAAGAGAAAATATGCCCTCCAGGTGATGTAGTCAAACCTTCCCACTCACACAGGATAGTTCTCTTCAGTTTTGGGGGTTTTTTTAAGCACTTCACCTAGATGAGTTTGAACATCTTGTCACAGGTAATTTTATTCAACAAGGCTCTATGCTGCTAAATTTCTCCAAGAGCTCAAATTTTAACCCATAGTTTCAAAAAGCATGATCAGTCTCTGGTCATATAAGAGCACTTGCATTGGAGAACTTTGGTTCCCACATGCTTAACCTGTAATAAGCCTAATATTTCAATTAGCTCTGAAATTTAAGTTCAGTACCAGCATTACTCATGTTAAGACAAGGTAAATATGTATTCAGTAATCACCGAGCTGCACAGATTATTTGTCAAAGTTTATTAGGTGCTGATTTACCCATATGAATAACATGCCTGCTCTTCAGTGAGACTAAATAATTTGTAGAGTGAAAATCCACAGAACCCAAGATCCTCATTGCTCAGCTGCCATCTAAGCTCAGAGACACCTAAGTTTACAGTATCAGTCTGTGAGTTTACCTCCACTATAGGTGCTAGGCAAAAAAAAAAAAAAAAAAAAAATCATCAGCCTTGGAAATACTTTGGTGGAGGTGTGTTAAGGAAAAAAAAGAAGTTGAATGCCTTCTTAGTTACATGGACTAATCAAAGGCTTGTTCAAAATACAGGTTTGGAGAAGGGGAGAGGCATTTTTGCCAATTCAGTTTGCAACCAGGAGCTGAAAAAACGCAGCCCAGGAGCTTTTTTGGGCCCTGCTGCTACTGCTCTAAGGAAACAATACTTCCCTCACACACTCTTTTAACAAAACAACTTGCCTTCATTTTCCCTAAGCAGCCACAGGTGGGTGACAGCTCCTTCTGCTGGGGAAGTGGTAGTGTCAGGCAGTTCCTGATGACCCCTATGACATTTCCAATCCACAACACGCCTGCCAGGTATTTGCGAGTCTCTTGTCTCCTAGAAAAAGCCACTCCAGGCCATTGGGCAGGAAATCCAGATAAAGTTTCCTGGAGCGCTACCTTCAAGTAGGCAAAAGTATGTCAATGGCAGGATGCCATTTTGGATATCGCATTTCAGCTTTGTTGGAAATCTGATACAAACTAAATCCTACTGTCAGGACTGTGTATCCAATGTTCGTTTTATCTAACATGTCAGTAAGAGGGAATCCACAACTTTGCCTCCACTGGTGAATGCTCCCACCTTGTAAGATACGTGTTCTCACCTCCAGTATAGCACTAAATTCTTTGATCCTTTTTGCAGCATCCCAAAAAATGGGGCAAAGTGTGTTTTCCCCCTACCTCCTCCTGTCCCCAAATAACTCAGAGCATGGTGAATGAAGCAGCAAGCTAACAAGAGTTTTGTCTACATCGGGAAGCTGGGGGAATGAAACTCAGACCTCTCACTGAATGCTTCCTGCTCCGTTAGAAAAGTAGAGCAAGCCCGTCTCTGGTGGGGAGGGGGCGGTGAGAAGGAGAGAGAAAGAAAAATTTACCTGCAGAACTGGCTGTGCATACTGAGCAGAGGAAGATGCCTTTTGGTAATGCTAAACAAGGCAGTTAGGCTTCATTGCAAATCAAGACTGAGAGGACTACAGATCTCCTCGCCCTTCCTTATTTTCTGGTCTACAGCATACTGGAGACCTTAGCTTTCTAATTGTCTATGGAAATGAAAACTAAAAGATGTTCTGCAACACCCAGCGCAGGCTCAAAATCTTTTCTTTTTTTTTTTTTTTTTTTCCCATCTACACCTGAGCACCTCCAGAAATGTTCAATGCTTTGTGAAGTTGAGTGGTGTTGTAAAGTATGTGCATGACAACACCCTCAACTGGCATGAATAAGCTTCATTAATTAACTTAATAGCAAATGTAGCAGTTTAACTATGTACTGTTTTATACCTTTAAAATGCGGCTTATAGTTTAATAGCTTTAGAAGTTTATTATTGCAATAGCGTTAAAGTTTATTATCGTTTTTTTCTCCTTTACTATTTTCTTGATACTAAGAAAAAAATCAAAGTAAAGATTTATTTCATTTGTATGCCTTGGAGGTGACAATTTAATATGTTTACCTATATGTAACATACTCCTTTCTTAAAGTGAGCACCAGTTTGTTTAGGAAACCAAAGGTAAGCTAACAATTGTAGGTATCATTAAACTCATGTTTATTCACAGATAAATGCTGTAGTCTATCAAAACATTTTGGCACAAAACTGACTAAAAAATAACCGAAAATTTAGCATCCCTCCCACCCCCCACAGAGATATCTGGTCCTTATGTTGCAGCTGAAATGAAAGTCTGAAGCATCAAGTTTTTGTAGTGGCACGGCAGAGGAGGGAGGCATGTGGAGGCAGACAGGAAGAGAGTAAAACTGGAAAGATTCCATGGACTTTTTTTTTTTTTTCTGAAATACTGTATTTACACAAAATTGGAGAGAGTACAAATACTTTACTAAGAAGACAAAACCATTATAGTACATTCAATTTAAACACAGGCAGTACTATAGATGCAAAACACGGAGGCCTAAGGTACTTACATGGGGAAAAAAAAGCATCAGAAAGGCCTCAGAGATTAAAAGCAGGAGATAGGAGAACATTGTAATTGTTATGCAGCATCACCTTTCCTTGACTTCAATGGGATTGCAACAAGATGCTCTCCTTCCTCATTGTGGATGGTGGGAAAAACCTTCTCGATGTGCTGACTGCTCAACACTGATTTTACAAAACGGTTAAGCATGTACATAATTTTCAGCTTGGGAATAGAGCTGTTAACTTCAAAGGAAAATATATTTGTGCCTAATCACATGCTTACATGCTTAGTTTGACCAGGAATAGCCTCTCAATGCTTAATAGGGTCAAGTCCATCGTTACATAAAAAATAAGTGTTCTTTACTGTCTTCTTTCTTTTTTTTTCTTAAAATATACTTTAGAATTGCTTTAATTTTCCCCTATGTACTTGATTAGAAAATAGTAGCTCATTGAATGCCATAGAATATTTTGATTCATGTCTTATATAATCAAAGGAATATTGTTCAAAAATAATTCCCACATTTTTCCAAAGCCTGTTTAGATTTAAAAATAAATAAAAGAGAAAAATACATATAATAATACAGCAGCTTCGTGTTTCTGGGCATTTGGCAGCAGGTCTGTTATAATATCCCTCCGACATCTCTTGGTATCAGTTAAAATCACCAGATTAATTAATCATTATAAAAGAAAAGATTGTACAATATTATTACAATCCACGAAATATAGCCAATGCATGAAATATTTTACACATTATATATCCCTTAAAAAGAGTTAATATACTTTAGCCTGTTCTTGAAAAACAGATAGCTTCTGAAGTAATATATCTTAAACACAGTGGTATCTGTCACTTCTACTTTCTAACTGATTTTTTTTTTTTTCTGAATAAAAGCTTGTTTGAATAGGACTACTAGCTCAGTGATGGAACTACGGTGCTATTTAACTAAATTCCATATATGTCTTCATTACTGTTGCTGCAATTATTGTAATCACATACCACTGAAGTGCTAAATATTAGTAACTCAGATATGTGGACTTTGGTTATGCTTGATAGAATACTGGCATATCAAATATATGTACCACTTCCTAAAGGCTATGTTACAATCATGATGCCTAGTAATAAATAATAATAACAACAATCTCAGATTCAAAGTGCTGACTCACTCGAGGCACCAATACAATAAATCAATCAATTAATTAAAAGACTTATTTGTAATGTTCAAAACTAACAGAGCAGATCCTGGGCTGCCCAGTTACTTGCGCAGCACAGAGGACTCTGAACCTCTCCTTCCAACCTGGGGATTCCTGTGGCCCCAGAAGACACTGGAGTATCACATCTGATGTGGAACGCTCCGAGACATACCAAGTTTTCAGACATGAAACATTAAAAACATTAGGCTTCTCTAAAGCCTCCAAAGGCTCTCTTAAAACCCCTCAAGCCTACTCCATTCACTCAGGCACAAGACTTTGCCATAGACTGTACTCGGCTGCAGACCAGGGAAGAGCCTTTCAGGAAAGTCCACAATGAAAAGCATCGCATTAATGCAGCTTTCACACCCTGGAGACACTGTCACCACTGTCGGCATGAGAGGGAAAAGGCAGCTTTCCAGCAGCAGCAAACACCTGTCTCACTCGAAGGGGAATGCTTTTCACGTTGTTAGTTTGTTCTGTGCAAGCAGTAATCGTTTTCGGTGTCGAGAGAGCTGTTGTACCCCGATGACGGATACAGGTCCCTCTTAAGTATCCTGTTGACGATGTTGATCAGAACTTTTTTGTACTGTTGACGTAAAAGTGAGTAAACAAATGGATCTGATGCAGCCTTACTGTAGGTGAGGCACTTGCTTATAATTCCCCAGTAGTAATTTATGGTAACAAAAGGAAGGAGCTCTATCAACCTGTTAAACATTAAAGAGAGACGGAAACACTTGAGTGTTATATTCACACTGAGCCCAGTGCTCAACTCGTGCTTCATGAAACATTAAAGTAACACTTATTTTCTTACAGTACACAGTCCCTGCAGGAGAAGGGCCCTGTACTTACTTTTTGGATACAATAAAGGCAAAGGAAACTTCCCTATCAAGGCTACTGGGAGACAAGAATTATTCCCTCTGTGAAAAGAGACAAAAACTGTGTTTTCAACATTAATGCTCCCATGCATCAGAGATAAGAAATTGCTGCAGTTTATTGCTCACTTTCTGAATTTAGAGAGTTGTGCTGCTAAGTGGTCAAAATCTTGGTGACACAATTAACTACCCCTCTCCCGTGGCAAGCTTGAGATAGACACATGTGACTTGGGGCATCCAGGCTCACTCAACTCTAGTCTAGTGACACTTGAGACATTTGGGCATAACCCCCTTGGCATCAGGCTGCTGCTCCTGGAAGTTGTGGGTCTCCCCTGAGTCCCGTGTCACATCTGCCAAGCTATGTAGAGGTTTTGGATACTGTGAAGCATCTGAAATGATACCACAAACCTGGTCTAGATCACTGAATCCAACCCCTCAGATACAGAAGAGTGAACCTGCATTACACTACTGCTGTGAATTATCACATATGCAAAGAGGATTCGTGTTAGACCGTTGCAGTATGAAGAACAACACGGCGGTATCTCAGAGTGATTTGGGTGGCACCTGCCATCCCATAGTATGCTTAGGAGCACAACTGCATCTACTTACCTGTGAAAGTTTCTGCGTGCACTTGGCTGACCGCTAGTTTGGCCAAAGAAAACAAGGAGACAACACTTTTATCATCATTATATGACCAGTCAACTCTCTCCAGACCTGTGTCTCCTAGTCTGTGCTTCACGGATGATTAGTGGCCTCGGCACCTCAGTTGAGGTGGGCGTATTAATCATGGGGGGAGAAACTGCAACTATGTTAAACCGTTTTTCCACAGAAGTGAGAGCAAACCTTCAGAGTGTTCCAGCAAATGTCTGGCACACAGCTCATCTGCAGTGGGCAAACTCTCCAGGAAGGTGGAAAGAACAGGGCGAGAAGTTTTATTATCTGTACATCTTTTGTGAAACCTTTTGCAGGAGCAAGAATATACTATTTTGCTATATTTGTTCCAGAAGAAAAAAAAAGTACCATGAGATAAACCAGCCCTTTTCTGTACCCTAAAACATCACTGTTTGAAGACGCAAGATCAGAAGCTTTCTCAAAGCTTGAAGAACCTTCTGGCCTCCTTCCAAAGTGCAGAGCTCCCAACTTGCAGGGTGTTGGCTTTTGAAGCTTTTCCGATCCCTCCTCATAGAAAAGCTGACTTACCACCACTAGGACTGAACATTGCAACAAGTGGTTGAACTCTGACAGGAAAATTTCTCATTTGTATGCATAAAAGTGAAACCATTCCTATGACAAGTGCATTTAAAAACCAGATGACTTCTGTCTGAAGCTGCGAGGAAAAAATTCCGGTGAATTCAAAACAGAGAGAACAGGAAGACACAAAATGTGAGAAATAAATAAATGTACGATAAATGACACTTGCTGCATGGTTGCTTAGGTTTATACCATCCTGTATATCGTCCTAAGACAAGAAACATACATTTGATATTTACACAATTGATGTTTTTATAAAGACCCTAAATAAAAAGAATAAGGTGTATTTCTGTCATGAAAACAGATGTATTACTATGTGTTCCCTTTAATGTATTATGGGCCCAAACATAATTGCACTGAAGCCAACAGAAGAAAAATTACACAGATTTTAATAAGATAAAAGGCCTGGCCAAATCAAGTCAGCCTTAGAAATATTCATCTGAGTGCATCTTAGTATCATTTTCTTGTTTTCAGTGCTGTTACAAAAAAGATGAAATTCATCTGTTGGCTCTTAGCGAACAGATGAATATATTGGTAATGATCATAATCTCATTCATATTTCTGAAATGAGGACCACATACTGAGCTCACAACGCAACCTGAGTCACCAGGCCAAAGAGCGAGAAAACAGGGAGGCTATCTTTCACATTGCCTCCATGGAGATTGCTTCAGTGCCACCCCCTTTAAAACCGGAATGGGGGAAGAGTGGAGAAACGGGCATAGCAGCAAGTCCTCCAACCTCACCTCCACCAACACCTTTTATCTAGTGCTGCCTGGACACTGTCTTGCCCTTGGGGCAAAGAGCCTTTGAGGATGTCCTCCCCAAATGCTTCCCATTTTTCTGTCACTGAACCAACTCAGTCCTTGTGGCTGAGACAGAAGCTGTACCTTGACACACGCGTTTACATAAACCAACCCTCAGTCTTCTCTCTGGTGACACATGAGGTACCAGTTTGTCACACATAGAAAATGCACCATCTCACATTTGCCAAATGCAAGGTCTGAAGAAGGAAGTCACTTTTATTTTAGAAGTTTATGAGAAATATCTCCACCCTGAAAAATGTGGCAATGCTGGAATTTGCTGAGCTTGGTAATGTTCAGATGGAAAGAAGATGGCAAAATCCACTTTGCTCAATATAATTATATCATGATTATGGCAAAAAGGAATAGAAAATGTCTCAGAATGTACTGAACAGTGATCAATTAACCTTTTAACTCTGTGATGTAATGTTAATATTTGTAATAATCCTTTCAACTGCAGAAAAAAAAAATGCAGTTATCCAGGCAATCAGTCAGGACTCCCCTTCAACATATAAATGGGAACTGAAATAAATGTCATCGTAAAGGTAAAAAACATTGTCATTTCTGTGCACTGGTCTAAACCTATCCCCCTACCCGTGTAAGAAAAGGGCAATGACAATGATCATAAATGGTATATATATATGTGACTGTGTAAGATCAGCGTACTAAAGCTGGCCAGTTTCTGTGAGCTGGTGCGGCTGCGGACCCCAGCAGCTTGGTAGCAACCTTGAGGAAGCCCTCACCAGGGTGGTTTTGCAGACTAGTGCACCTTCCTCAGCACAAGTCAGTACTCTTCAAGGGTGTCTTGAACACACTGTGAAGTGGGGAATATTTTAAAAAATCACTGTGAAAGACGTAGCCCATTTTAGTTTAGCGATTAAAGGCTAAATCCCGAGGTGCTGCAATTCAGTATAGTTACATTGGCTTCCAGCTCACTTGATTTATGCAAGATTTAAAAATAATAACCATATGTTGTATAAAGACTATACAAGTACGGAACGAGAATGATGCATGACTACTTAAAAAGGTGCAAGCCACCAGGGTGGGTGCCAATAACTCTGGCCAGTTGAGGAGCATGGTGTTTCCTATACATTTTAAAAGTCTAATTACTGGTTTTCCTGGGAGATAACTCTTACACCTCATCACAAGGCCGTGCTGCACCATTAGCAATATATTTACAGACATTAATGTTTCCAGACACAAAGCTTATCAGACAAATTATCAGCCTAGATAAATTTAAATTATGTCACCTCGGCTTCCAATAGCAGCAAACTTGGCCTTACGCCTTTAAAAAAAAAAAAAAGCTAATCAGGAAAAGCTGTCTGCTTTCCTCTCTACTGCTCGGGTTGTGCTAATAAGGAAGGGTGGCGAGTCTTTTAAACTGCTTTCATCTCCCACTGGCATGTAATTAATTCCTGGTACTTGTCCTAAAAGCCTCTCGCTCTTGGCAGAGGCGCCCAGACCTGGCTGCAATGAGGAAAGGAGAGCCAGAGGCTGCCCAGGCTTCGCCCAGTGGGCTTGGTGTGCGGGCAGGGTCGGCATGAGTGTGTGTGTGTGTGTGTGCTCTGCCCCTCAGAACCAGCTCTGGGTCTCCTGGGTCAGGTTCTGACGCCCCAAAATTAGCTGCAGTCCGTGGGTCGTCCCCCCCCCACCCTGCTCCCCCAGGGCACCTGGGCATCAGAGGGCATACCGGTCCCAGCAAGTCCCCCACCCCAGCAGGAGATACTAACCTGGTGATAATGTAAGGACCAAAACAGATCACAAACGACCCTATAAAAATACTGATTTTCTTGGTAGCCCGCTGCCTCCTCCGTTTCTGCTCATTAAGACAGCGCTGCTTCACACTGCAAAGGGAAAAGAGCAGTCGGTGGGTGAAGGCAAGAAGCGGGGAGGCAAGATGTGAGCCCAGGGCAGAGGGGAAGGACTCGCTCCCGGCCCCAGAGCCCCTGCCCCAGGGGAGGGGAGGGCAGCCCCAGCCCTGCCGAGCCTGGGGACATCGCACTCGCCGGAGCAGCAGCTCCCTGGTAAAGGCAGCTCAGGCAAGTGGGAGCACCCGCTGAGCGGGACTAGCATTCAGACAAAGCAAGCTAGGAATGCACAAGCCACCGTCTCGTGGCACTATAAGCAGCTTCTGAAACTAGAGGCAGAAGCGTTCGCCCTGTGGCCGGGGCGGGCAGGGGTGCGGGAAAGGGAGTTGGGGAGGCAGGACACCCTTTCCGCCCCGGGCACCTACCGCAAGCACCCCGGGGCTGTGAATACGAACACGCACACGTTACCTGGGGTGGATATCCACCAGCAAAACCAGAGTCTGCATGGTAATAATGTCTATCCGCTTGCAGTGGAATCGGGCAACTTTCAACACCTTTAAATAGGTGAAACACAAGATCACCAGCGACAGCATGAAACTGGTGGAGTGAAAGACGATGGTGAACACTGTAAACCTTCTCCGCTCCGTCTCTTCCTTCAGGTGTAAGGTGCAAGAGGCATAAACATTGCTGTAATCTACCCACGAGTAAAACAAGGATACCAAGGGGAACGTGAGGGAGTGGAGCCACGAGTAGCCCATCAATATCACAGCGTCCTTATACCGCATCTTGCTGGTGTAGCTTAAGGGGAACACCACGGCAATCCATTTGTCGATGCTGAGCGCTGCCATGCTCAGCATCGTGTTGGAGGTCAGGAAAGTTTCCAGGAAGCCCACCGCTTTGCAGACGCAGCCTCCGAGGGGTTGCTGGTTCCTCAGGATCCCCAGCAGGGTGAAAGGCATGTTCAGGACGGTGAGGAGCAGGTTGCAAAAGGATAAGTTCACCAGGAAAACCCCGGCGACCTGCTTGCGGATCTCCGTACTGTAGACGAAGCATAGCAGCACCAGGAGGTTGGAGAGCAGGGAGACGACCAGCACCAGCACGAGGAGCAACGCCAGCAGCACGCCTGCCAAGTCCATCTCTCAGCGGGTCGCCTGGAGCGGGCGAGGGCAGGAGGAAGGGGGCATCCGAGCCGGCACCGCAGC